GCGTTTCCTCGACGCCACAGGGGGTGCGCTGGGGTGGGGGCCCACCGCGGTCTCTATACGCGCCAATGTCGCAGGGCCTAGCAGGAGTGGCATTTCCTCGACGCCACGGGGGGTGCGCTGGGGGTGGGGGCCCACCGCGGTCTCTATACGCGCCAATGTCGCAGGGCCTAGCAGGAGTGGCGTTTCCTCGACGCCACAGGGGGTGCGCTGGGGGTGGGGGCCCACCGCGGTCTCTACACGCGCCAATGTCGCAGGGCCTAGCAGGCGTGGCATTTCCTCGACACCGGAGGGGTGCGCTGCAGGCTCCCAGCGCGTGGCAGGCGTGGCATTTCCTCGACGCCACAGGGGGTGCGCTGGGGGTGGGGGCCCACCGCGGTCTCTACTCGCAGGGCCTAGCAGGAGTGGCATTTCCTCGACGCCACAGGGGTGCGCTCCCACCGCGATCTCTATACGCGCCAATGTCGCAGGGCCTAGCAGGAGTGGCATTTCCTCGACGCCACAGGGGGTGCGCTGGGGGTGGGGGCCCACCGCGGTCTCTATACGCGCCAATGTCGCAGGGCCTAGCAGGAGTGGCGTTTCCTCGACGCCACAGGGGGTGCGCTGGGGGTGGGGGCCCACCGCGGTCTCTATACGCGCCAATGTCGCAGGGCCTAGCAGGAGTGGCATTCCTCGACGCCACAGGGGGTGCGCTGGGGGTGGGGGCCCACCGCGGTCTCTATACGCGCCAATGTCGCAGGGCCTAGCAGGCGTGGCATTTCCTCGACACCGGAGGGGTGCGCTGCAGGCTCCCAGGGCGTGGCAGGCGTGGCATTTCCTCGACGCCACAGGGGGTGCGCTGGGGGTGGGGGCCCACCGCGGTCTCTACACGCGCCAATGTCGCAGGGCCTAGCAGGAGTGGCATTTCCTCGACGCCACAGGGGGTGCGCTGGGGGTGGGGTCCCACCGCGATCTCTATACGCGCCAATGTCGCAGGGCCTAGCAGGAGTGGCGTTTCCTCGACGCCACAGGGGGTGCGCTGGGGGTGGGGGCCCACCGCGGTCTCTATACGCGCCAATGTCGCAGGGCCTAGCAGGAATGGCATTTCCTCGACGCCACGGGGGGTGCGCTGGGGGTGGGGGCCCACCGCGGTCTCTATACGCGCCAATGTCGCAGGGCCTAGCAGGAGTGGCGTTTCCTCGACGCCACAGGGGGTGCGCTGGGGGTGGGGGCCCACCGCGGTCTCTATACGCGCCAATGTCGCAGGGCCTAGCAGGCGTGGCATTTCCTCGACACCGGAGGGGTGCGCTGCAGGCTCCCAGCGCGTGGCAGGCGTGGCATTTCCTCGACGCCACAGGGGGTGCGCTGGGGTGGGGGCCCACCGCGGTCTCTATACGCGCCAATGTCGCAGGGCCTAGCAGGAGTGGCATTTCCTCGACGCCACAGGGGGTGCGCTGGGGGTGGGGGCCCACCGCGGTCTCTATACGCGCCAATGTCGCAGGGCCTAGCAGGAGTGGCATTTCCTCGACGCCACAGGGGGTGCGCTGGGGGTGGGGGCCCACCGCGGTCTCTATACGCGCCAATGTCGCAGGGCCTAGCAGGAGTGGCATTTCCTCGACGCCACGGGGGTGCGCTGGGGGTGGGGGCCCACTGCGGTCTCTATACGCGCCAATGTCGCAGGGCCTAGCAGGAGTGGCGTTTCCTCGACGCCACAGGGGGTGCGCTGGGGGTGGGGGCCCACCGCGGTGTCTATACGCGCCAATGTCGCAGGGCCTAGCAGGCGTGGCACTTCCTCGACACCGGAGGGGTGCGCTGCAGGCTCCCACGGGGTGGCAGGCGTGGCATTTCCTCGACGCCACAGGGGGTGCGCTGGGGGTGCGGGCCCTGTGCGCTGCAGGAGCCCAAGGCGTGGCAAGCGTGGCATTTCCTCGACGCCACAGGGGGCTTGACAGCAGAGAGGGTACGTAGGTAGCGCAGCAGCCTTGAAATTTTCTGGAGTCTATATCTTGGGCAGTATGCACCGGTGCCTCAGGCGTGTATGCGGCAGAAGTATTCTCAGCAAGGTTAACTGTAGACACCTCGGCTCAAGCAGGCTCAAAGACAGCAGGCGCCCACAGGCATGCCCCAAAAATGTGCAGTGGCCGAATTGCCACCTCCGTGCACCATTCTCTTGAACCGGATGGTCCAGGTTGGTTGGCCTGGTTGGCTCGTGTGGTTAGTCCGGCTGATTATGGCTGCGGTTGTTGGCATAACTAATATGGTTGGTCTGGCTGGTCTGCTTGATTGCTTTGGCTGGTTATGGCTGGAACGAATGATCTGGCTGGTCTGGTCAGTCTGGCTGGTCTGGCTGATCTGGCTGGTCTGGTCAGTCTCTCGTCAGGATGGCGAAGCGAGATGTGACATGGTTTGTGAACACACGTGACATAAAAAAAGTATGTGGGGTTCCTCGGTAACGCAATTTTCAAGAATTGCGCATCATCGAGATGGCACGCGAGTGCCCTAACGGACGGGTTGGGTCGGGAGTGCGGGTGGATGCCGGAGCACCAGGCTCGAGTGTCTGGCCCGGAGCACTGGGAGTACCCAGAGTGCCTGGTGTGTCTGGAGCGTCCAGCCAATCCTGTGGAACTGGTCCTGCGGAACCTGGCCTGTGGAACCGGTCTTGCGGAACCGGGCCTGTGGAACCAATCCTGTGGAACCGGGCCTGTGGAACGGGTTCCGCAGAACGGGTTCTGTGGAACGGGTCCATGTTGAACCCGTCTTCGTTGAACTGGGCCTTGCTGAACTGGTCGTCTGCTGAACCGGTGTCTGTTGAACTGGTCGTCTGTTGAACTGGTCCCTGTTGAATCGGTCGTCTGTTGAACAGGTCTTTTCCTCCTCCTCCTCCTCATCCTCTCCATGCACCTCCTCCTATCTCTACCCTTATGAAATGCCTGCGCTGATCTTTCAGCTGAACAGAGCGGCGCTAAACTGCATCTTTGGCGATCCCCGCGATGCCCTGGGATGTATTGGACAGCGGCTGAACCAGCATGCATGGAGCAACCACCGACGTGCATAGACAACCGTACGTGCCTATCCACCTCCAGGGGAGCGGGTGTCCTGGGACCTCAGGAGGCGGTGGACATGGATACATTTGGGCCCCGGCGGGCCCGAACATGTTCACGTACACTGCCTCCCGAGGTCAAGGAAGATCGATGTTCCCCAGGCGGTGGATATGTATACGGTGAGGAACGCTTGCCTAGCGCGTCGCGGCGGCGGCCCCGGCGAAACACGATGCCCTGCGAGCGGATAGCGTGTCGCTCCGCGTGGCGGAAAGCTGGAAGGAGCTCGGGACGTTGACGCTCGGGGACCGGGAAGAGGTTTGCGTGTCGCGCCGAGGTGTGGTGGGCGAGAATCGGCGGCGCGAAACGCCAAGCAAAAGTTCCCGACCGCAACACCCAGCCTCTGAGTGGGAACCCCTCTCCTCCACCACCCCTCCTGCTGGGGGTCCCACAACCCGAGTGGTGACGGACCCTGCGCTGACCTCGAAACTCCGAAAGACCTCGCCGCACGGCCCGTCACCGCACAGTGATGGGACCCTGGAGTCCCCGGTCGCCCAGGCAGTCCTCGGAGAACGACCCGAGTCCCAAACCGTGCGGCCACCCCGAATCCCAACTGATTCACGCCACGATGTGGTTACCTCACCGTCCGGGGCCTTCCGAGACTCTGCTAAACACCCCACCCTTCTGGGACCCTCCGCAGGGCTTGCCCCTGGTCAACACTGCATGCAGTCCGAGCCTCGCCCAGGCGGTGACCACGTTGAGGCCGCCCCCAGGAAAACGCTCAACCAGAAAAACGCCACAATCTGCAATTCGATATGTCGCGATCCTGCTCCGCGCCCCGTCCCTCGCCAGACCGCAAGCGTCGTGCTGCCAGACCGCAGGCGTCGTGCGCTGTTTTCCGCGTGGCCCCTCGTAGAGGCCTGGACCCCCAGAAGGACCATCTCTCCATGCCCAGGGCCGCCTCCTGCTGTCGGCCCCGTGTACCACCTCTCCATCCCGGGGCCGCATCCTGGGAACGCTGAGGCTCAGACGGAGACATAGAGAAACAAACAACTAGGAGAAGAAACAACGGCACAAACATAAACTGTTGGCGCTCCGCGAAGACTTCTTGGATCTGCACTGGACCCCCCTCCCTGGCGCGCGGACCACGCCAGGGGAGGCGCAGGAGGCGCCGCCGGGGGGCCCAGCGCGGATCGAAGAAATCCGCGCGGAGCGCCAAAAGTGTTGTTTATGGCGTTTTCTCTTCTTCGGGAAAAAAGCATATACATGACGTCTCCGAGGTCCGCACGGTGGGGGGGGGAACCTGACCTGACAAGAGCGGGAAGCGCAGCTCTGTCTACGAAGCTTGTCGGACAACGTCGGGTTGGCCACCGTTCGGAGTTCCGACGCTGCTTCACGACGGCGCCCAGGTCTCACAGCATAGTTCTTGCATGACCCATTCTGCCAGGGAGGGGATGAGCGGCAAAAGGCGAAACCCTTGCGGGTAATGTTGTGCCGTTGTTCTGTTGTTCGATGAAGGCATCCCGAGGCAAGAATGCCGCGGAGAATTCTCCAAAACGTCCGAGCGCCTCGAGAAGATGGACGCTGAGATCCGACGTAGGGAACGAAAGTACAACACAGTGACAAGACACCACCGGAGCCCTAGACTCCACCTTTCTGCGCCAAGGCTCGAGCCAAATTCGATGATCTACTGACCAAGGCCGATCCAAACCCAGGTCAGTCAGGCCCTGTAGGATCCTGCAAGATCCAGCAAGATCCTGCAAGATCCTGCACCCAAGCCTGGGTCAATGCGACCCGGGCTCTGCAGGCACCTGCAAGATCCGGCGCTCTGGCTGACCCCCGTTTGCATTGACCCCCGTCTCTTGAGCCCCGACAGATCGATTCGAACCTGGGAGAACACGCCCTGCCCGACAAGCATCAGGACGAAGCCCGCCCTGCCCGCAGGGGAGACAAGGCAGGGCGAGGCGAGGGCCAATCCCCGCTGGCCCTGGCGGGCACAGCAGCGTCCCGCACTCGCAGGAGCGGGTGGTGTTGATGACCTGCGGCCGAAGGTGAAGACCAAGATGAAGACCAAGATTAATATTATAATGATAATGATAATGATAATGCTACTGCTGATGATGATTATGTTGCTGCTGATGGTGGTGATGATGGTGGTGGTGATGGTGGTGATAATGATGATGACGATGATGATGATGCTAATGCTGGTGATGGTGATGTTGATGATGTGATGGTGGTGATTGTGATGGTGATCATGGTGGTGATACTGATTATGGTGCTGATGATGACAATGGTGAAGACGATGACGATGATGCCGATGATGAGGATAAGTATGACGATACTGACGCTGCTAGTGATGGCTATGATGAGGATGGTGATGACGGTGTTGATGATGACGCTTAGGATGATAACGATGATGCTGCTGATGCCGACGTTGTTGATGATATTGATGGTGATGGTGGTGATAGTGGTAAAGTGTTGATGATGGCTGCTGTCGATGCTTAGTGGTGATGCTTGTTGATGGTCGTCCTACGTACTCCGTCTGTGCACCCTCGTCCTTCTCCTCGTCCTCCTCGTCTCGTGTCCCTCCCATATCCCCTCCCTGCCCCCTCTGCCAACGGTTGGCCAACGGCCGACAGCGCACACTGCGAAAATCCATACCACCTTGTCCTCCCTGCTTCCTCCGCCATGGGTTGGCCCACTTCCGTCATTCCGCCTCCTGGTGCTGAGTTACTCTGGTGTCGCGATGAGGTGTTCACGATCGTGTCCAGGGGTAGTCTCAAGTCTATGATCAGCGTCCCTGTCTGTGCCGTGCTGACCAGGAGCCGAATACTTTCGCCGAAGCGCGGGAGCAGCAAGATCGAAAAGAGCTGCCGTCGTCAGAAAAAAGCGGGCGGGCAAGGGAGGCGGGTGCGCACGAAGATTGTGTGCCGAAGCCGACGGATGAAACAAAAAAACGATCGAGAATGTCAGAGTGAGGGGGCCGAGCGGTCATTCAATTCACTGCCCCTGGGCACGTGGCTGACGTGGGGTTCTGCTGTGCGGATTGCTGTCTCGTTGAACTCTCACCTTTGGAAAATTATCTTTCTGACCCCCCATCACAGGTGCACATTACGTCTTCCAATTCAAGTGGCCCCTCGGGGCTCGCACCCTGTTACTTATCAGAGAAAGCATTCGTGGACAACCTGCGTTGTAAAGCCCCGAACTATAACAACAACGGTTCCCGCCTGATACTTCCTGGCAATGTATTCCAACATCGAGCTCTCGCTCAGGACTTTCTCAATGTATTCAGGAATCGCGCTCTCGCGTGGGGAGTCCTCACAATTCATTCAGACGCCGCGCCCTCGACACTCAGGAATCACGCTCTCGCTTTGGCCTCTCTCGCGATTGACTTGGGAATCGTGGCTCGTCCGCCCGATCTGCCCGTCTGGTTCTGCCACGTGCTTTCTGCTCCTAACACCCACCCCTCCTGCGAAGTTCTCTCGTGTTCCATGACTTTCTTTCTCCTTTCCGTACGTGCGTTGTTCCCATGTTTTAGGGGCTGCGCTCAATGCGCGCAGCAGGTAAGGATCGAACAACGAACAGGGCGAGTACCGAGGGTTTTGGGGTACACGTGTCGACTGGTACGTGAATAGATTGGAGCGAACAATAATACAATGATTGTTGCTGTTGCGCTCCCATTAAAAAAAAGAATTGTTGGTCCCCCCTCCGGTGACCCGTGTACGTTTTAGATAAGTTGCTCACCCCGAGGTTCGCACCCGTTTGACACACGGGGAAGTGGGGTGCCACCAAACTGGGACCCTGGCCCACCGCTCACAACAAAGAATCAAGTTAAGACTGTTCGTTCTTACCTGCGCGCGTGCCATTCAACACGAAAATCCCAAACGCTGGATACCCGCCCTCTTCGTCTTCGATCGTGCCCCCAGAGGAGTATATCATTCTGACCTGCAACGTGTATTTCGTGCAGCCCCCTAGGCAGGTGAAAAGAGGACGGATGGAAGGAAGGGGCAACGGCACGAGAGCGAGAGAAGCAGGAAGCAGGCGACGAGCACAAAACACGTGGCAGAACCAGACGAGCAGATCGGGCGGGTAGACCCTAACGGGCGGGTCGGGAAAGCGGGCACATGCGGCCAGATCGAGCAGGCGGGTTGCTCAAGCGTGCGTCCTGCATGAATCGCGAGTGCGTCTCGAGCGATAGTGCGATTCCCTAGGGAATCGTGGAGAAATCCATAGCGAGAGCGTGACTCCTGAGTGTCGAGGGCGCGGCGTCGGAACGAGAGCGCGATTTGGGAATACATTGTGAGGAAGTATTCGGCGGGAGTCTTTGTTATTGTAGTTCGGGGGCCAACGACGCAGTTTGGTAACCCCTCGCGCTCTTGTGTTAAAACAACAAGCAAACAAAACACAGGGTGCGAGCCCAAAGGGAAACACTTTAATGGAAGAGACAGAATGGCTACCGGAGAGGATGATCAAACATACTTAAACATGGCAAGTTAATAATAACAACACCAACAGCAACAGCGGCAACAACAACAATCATGTTAAGACTGTTCGTTTTCACCTGCGCGCGTGCAGCTCAACACGTCTATCCCGAACCCTCGGTACCCGCCCATTTAATTTTCGATCGCACACCCCTGGGGGTCTATCTTCCTTGCCTGCCGGGTGTAATTGGTGCAGCCCCTGAAACAGGGGAAGGGAGGACGGATGGAAGGGGCAGGGAGAAGGATGGAGCACGGCGTTAGCAGGAGAGCGGCTATAAGCAGAAAACACGTGGCAGAACCAGACGGGCCCATCGGGCGGGTAGACCCTAAAGGGCGGGTGGGGAAGGTGGGCCCAAGCGGCCAGGTAAAGAAGGCAGGCTGCTGAAGCGTGAGTACTGCGTGAATCGCGAAGAGAGCTCGAGCGATAGCGCAATTTCAAAGTAAATCGTGGGAGTGGCCAAAGCAATAACGTGATTCCTGAGTGTCGAGGGCGCGGTGTCTGAATACATTGCGAAGAAGTCCCACGCGAGAGCGCGAATCGTGCATACAACTTCTGAGAAAGCCCCGCGATGTATCACGATTTTGGAATACATTGTAAGGACGTATCAGGCAGCAGCCGTTGTAGTTGTAACTCGTGGGCCAGAGGCCCAATTTGGTGACACCCAGGCTTCCCTTGTAAACAATAGGGAGCGATCCCTGGAAGCACTTTAAAGGAACACAATTCAGTGGCCACCAGAGGGGGGGACCAACAATACTTCGAAAACCTCGAAACCATGGCAAGGCCCGCCCTGATCCTCCCCGCCACGTCCATGCCCTCGCCTTTGGATCCTCCTCCTCCTCCCTCTCCTCCTCCCTCGCCAATGGACCTCCTTGTCCTCCTCATCCTCCCTCGCCGTTGGACCCTCCTCCTCGTCCTCCTCGTCCCCACTTGGACCATGTCGGCCAATGCTCCTCCTCGTCCATGCCCTCGCCTTTGGACCCTTTCGGGGGGGGGCCTGGGGCCTCTGGGGCCTTGAGTTGACTAATCCAGTCGGGATCGCTTGCTTTGCGTGTCGCCCTGGCGGCCCCAGCGACACGCTGTGCCCTGCGGGCGCATACAGCGGAGGCCAGTCCACAGGAGACCTTCCACGAGAACCAAAACCCTGAGACCCCAAGACTCCCATGGATTTTTGGTCTGGGAACTTCCCGCTTTCCATCGCAAAACCATCGAAACCCAAGAAACCCAGGGCATCCTGGAGGCAAGCAGGCTGTTTCCTGGCATGGGCCCCCACTGTACGGTGTCGCTGCGCTCCGCTGGGCGGGAGGCTGGGGAAAGCTCGGAACGTCGAAGCCTTGGGACTGGGATGTGGACAGCGTGTCGCGCCTAAGCGTGGTGGGCCGAAATCGTCGGAGCGAAACGCTATCCACAAGTTCCCGACCGCAAGTCGCGACCCACGAGGTGGTCCTTCTTCCCCTCGTCCATGCCCTCGCTCTCCTGGCTGTCCTGCTCCTGCTCCTCATCTTCCTCCTCCTCCTCCTTCTCCTCCTCCTCCTTCTCCCCGTCCTCCTCCCCTCCCATCTCCCCCTCGTCGTCGTATGCCATCGGATGCAAGCCGGCGTTCCCCTTCTCCTCCTCCTCCTCGAGCCCCTCCCTCCCATCTCATCCTCAACCTCTCCCGTCGCATCCCATCTGCCTGAGAGGAGGGTGGACGGGGTGGGAGGGGGTGGGGGGAGAAGGATGGGGTGAGAAGGGGTGGGGCGGGAGAGGAAGGGAGTGACGCATGAGGGAGCGGATGATGATGATGATGATGATGATGATGATGATGATGATGATGATGATGATGATGATGATGATGATGAGGAGGAGGAGGAGGAGGAGGAGGAGGAGGAGGAGGAGGAGGAGGAAGAGGAGGAAGAGCGGGAGGAGAGGGTGAGGAACGGGAGGGGGAAGGGATGAGGAACGTGATGGAGAGATGGGTGAGGAGGGGGGTAGGGAGAATGCAGAGGAGGGGCCCACTCGATTCCGAGGGTTTCCCTCCCCCCATCCCTCCCCATCCGATCTATCCCGAAGGTTCCGAGGATCTTCGGCAGAAAGGGGCCTCTCTGACGGCACGGTGCATGCCCTCCATCGTGGTGCGGTCCATGTCGCTGTCCTCTGGACGCAGTCAACTGGGACAAGCGCGGTGCACAGATGGAACATGTGCTTCCTGGACTCCTGGATGGTCATTTGAACTAGGGCTGATTTTCCACCACCACTACCATAAGTAACTACCATAGGTAAGACAGGGAGGGGGAGGAGGAGGAGGAGGAGGAGGAGGAGGAGGAAGAGGAGGAGAAGAACAAGGAGAAGGAGCAGAAGGAGGACCGCCCCATCCTCTCTTCTCTCCCGTCCTACTTATGGTAGCAGTGGTGGAAAATCCGCCTATCAATATTATCGTGCGCGTGGTGGGGAACGTGCTTTGCGGACAGCGTCGCGGCGCTGCCATCGCCCTCCCCTGGCGGCTCACTGAATTCCTGGGGGTCCCAGAAGCCGCGTGGTCACGGACCGCCCGGTGCCCTCGGCGACCTCACCGCACGGCCCGTCGTCACCGCACGGTGTTGGGACGCTGGAGGCCCCGGTCGCCCGGGACGTCCCAGGAGAACGCCCTCAGTTCCAAGACCGCGGGGTGATCCCGAACCCCCACCGACTCACCAGACGGTGTGACCATCACACCTGGGGACGCTCGAGAAATGGCTGCGGGAAAGATGGGTGCAATGCCTGACAGCCAACGCTGTCCAAAACCGACAGCGGCCGCTGTTGGGCAGGCGGACGTCTGTCTACAATGAACATCGCCCACGGCGGCACCGACAACGATACCTGTTCAAAATCATCAGGACATACTGTCGGTCTTTGTGTGCCAGTTCTTTCCGTGCCAACCTTGCTCGTGTCGGTCACCTTTGCGAAGTCCCTGATGCATGCATCAACTAATGCTACGTACGGCCGACCTTCGCGCGACCGTCCCGCTGCACTCGGCCCGCGAGCGACCCTCGCCCGACCCAGCCGATACCATCGCCCCCTGACACCCTGCTGCGGCCTGCCTGCAGACAGGCCAGCACCGTGGCCCGCTCACAAACCGCAGGAACACAGACGCGCACCCACAGAAACCAACCTGCGCTTGCCAAGGCCGGAGAGATTCCCCCAAGAGGCCCCGGCCCAGGAATGTCCCAGAATTCCGGCAACAGGCCCCCTCCTTAAGGCCTCCCAAGCGACCCCAACACGCCTCTCAAAGAGGCGTCTTGTCCACAACCCTTCTTTGGCCCCAGTACTGCCCCAAGAAACCATCGAGAGGCCTCCTCCTCCTACTCCTTCTCGCTCGCCATCAAAGCAACAATGATGCAATGTGCGTTGGCGGAACGAGCGACCCGACTGTATTGGGCTTGCACCCTGCGGGCCTACGCCGTGTTGTAGCGTACGAGGGTACATGATGATATAAGATGATGACAATGCTGATGGCGATGATGCTGCCGATGATGATGGTGATGAGGATGCTGATATATGATGGTGATGATCATGGTGGTGTTTGTGTGAAGGGGACCTGAGACACACAAACAAATACACACAAATAACCGGATTCCACATCTATTCACATATGTTCTGGGTTGTGCCTCCCCTCACTTACCACATGTTTCAAGATTTTCCTGGGAATCGACCATTAATTGTGTCTGTATGTTTTCCCCCTCCTGATGGTGGTGGTGAGGACGATGAAGTTGCTGAGAATGATGCTGATGCTGATGCTGATGCTGATGCTGATGCTGCTGCTGCCACTGATGCTGATACGGTGGTGATGATGATGTTGATGATGATGTTGATGATGATGTTGATGATGATGCAGATGATGATGCGGATGATGATGATGATGATGATGATGATGATGATGATGATGATGATGATGATGATGATGATGATGATGATGATGATGATGATGATGATGATGATGATGATGATGATGATGATGATGATGATGATGATGATGACAACTGGAGGATGATGAGGTGGCATGCGTAAGGCATGCTGAAAAGGGGCTTCGCGCATTCCACCGGCCGAGAATGTTTCAAAGCCACCTTCCGCACCTCTGCTCTCACGTCGACACGCCCAAAAACTAATGGTGCGCGCTCTGAGGCACCTGGGGAACGTAAAAGACATGAGGAATGGGGCTCGACGCTCCTGGGGGGACGTCAAACTACGCGTGAACTGCGCCCCTACGGCTTCTAAACCTTGATTCGGCTCACCTGTCTTGCATTTCCTCTCTGATGATATTTTGGGACGCGCATAAATATGAGTGAGCAACGTCTTCATGGCCGCGGCGCTGTCATTTCGGCCCGCCCCTCATGCATTCCCTGCTCCACACTCTACTTGGACATGTGCGATCTGCGCTCCGAGGCCGTTCGACTCCCCACGGGACACCAACATGACCCCAAAAAACGTTGCAACGAGTGGTGCCGACCCTCGTCGAGGCAGTATCCCCAAGACCCACTGATTGCAACATCTGCCTGCAAACGTCCTCATGAGTTTAGTGGTGCTGAAGCTTTAGCTTAGGATTCGGGCGAGAGTGTTTTAGGGGAGGTCCAGTGAGGCAGCGCCAACCACTACGACAGCAACGCAGTTCGTTTGTCACTGCAATGTTTGCAATGTCCTTGCATCTGCTCTGGCTCCTCTGGCTGGCCTCGTCTAAGCTCAAAGCCCAAGCGCTGCAGCCTTACGCTGTCTGCTCGAATGATGATCTCTTTGGTCTGTCCAATGCCAAAAACACTCTGCCCCGCTGGATAGCGATACGTGAACGCCGTCAGACCCTCAGACCACAAAAGGACGGGGAAACCGCTGTTCAACTCAAGCGCCTTCAACCGTTCGTCTGCCTAGGTGTCGCTCCCGGGCCTGTGAGCCTGCTGGATGGGATAACCACTCTTCAACCTGCCCGTGTGCCAGACCCTCTCACCCACTGGTGACTCACCGGCTCCCGGAGAAAGGGGGAGAGGAGGAGGAGGAGGAGGAGGAGGGGGGAAAGGAAGAGGTGGACGACAACGACGACGAAGAGGGACAGCAGGAAAAGCACGAGGAGAACGACAAGGGCCGCCAGGACAAGCACGAGGAAGAGGGGGAGGAGCAGGATGACGAGGAGGAGGAGGAGGAGGACGTGGAGGAGGAGAAGCAGGAGGAGGAGGAGCACTGTCTATGACGGCCCCAGGGCCCGGCGACAGCTCCGCGCCCTCGTCCTCGACGTCCACGTCGTCGTCGTCGTCGCCGCCGTCGTCGACTTCCACGTCGTCGTCGTCCCGCCCTTAGCGTCGCCGCAGGCGGGGCTCGGACCGAAAGCACCGCTGCGTCAAGTCTGACTGCGGCGGAAAGGGAGGTGAGCGAGGAGGGAGCACCAGCAGCCATATTGAGAGTAAGGCGATGGAATATAAGAACTTCACACATCGAGCGGCATATAATAACGGCCCCCTCGGAGAGAAATAGAGAGATAATGAGAGAGAGAGAACAAAGAGAGGAATACATAGAGACGAGAGAGAGAGAGAGGAGAGAGAGAGAGAGAGAGAGACAGAGAGAAAAAAACAACATACAACAAAACGGGAGAGAGAGAGAGAGAAAGAGAGCGATGAAGAAAAGGGGTAATACATATATATATATATATATGCAAACATATATACATATATTGACAGGGAAGAGAGGACACATAGGCATCGATGCCGTTCCCTGCATCGATTCACGCGCGCGGGGAGAACATACCGGATGACGCTCCTTGGCCACGAGCGCCGCGAGCACAAGCGCAATGTCGCAGCCGTTGTTGACCCTCACCTTTCGCTCTTGGGGGGGGAGAACGTAGCGGGCCACACCGCAAGGCCAAAGCCCACTCGATCCGCCGACACCCCCCGCGTCGTAAAGAAATCACGACGGGATCTGTTTTGCGAATGCCGCCCTCTGAACACCCTGGCCGGGCCCGGGGACGCGGGGACCGCAAAAGAACAACTCGTGTTGAGACCAAGGGGTACCACGTTTCGAAAAAAAAACGTCGGCGGTATGGGTCTACAGGTCTGGCGCTCAACGCGTTCCTGGTCTGTCCGCTTGCATGTCCTCCTCCTCCTCCTCCTCCTCCTCCTCCTCCTCCTCTCCTCCAGCTCCTCCTCCTCCTCTTCTTCCTCCGCCTCCTCCTCCTCTCCTCCTCCTCCTCCTCCTCCTCCGCCTCCTCCCTCCTCCTCCTCCTCCTCCTCCTCCTCCTCCTCCTCCTTCGCCTCCTCTTCCTCCTCCTCCTCCTCCTCCTCCTCCTCCGCCTCCTCCTCCTCCTCCTCCTCTTCCTCCTGTGGACAAGAACCAGACCACGGCGGTTGTCAGGAAGCCGTTGGCGGCCGTCCTCCGGGATTGTTCTCTCTTTCGGTTTCCCCCGCCCCCTCGGCCCGGGCAGAAAGACCCCGCGCTCCTGCTGCTTTCCGAGAAGCGCTCACAGTAACTCATGCTCTGGCCGACTCTGAGCACCAAATCCTGAACGTTCACCGATCGGTGTTGCAATGCTCAGTGTGTGCCGGTCGCACGTGTAAGAAATTCGCCTTCGATATCTGTTGAACCATCCAACGCCGTGGCGCCGCTCGCTTTGCGGACCCTACGGTGTTTTTCTGGAGGGAAGCCCCTCCATGGGACTGGTATATGGTCCAGGCAGGCATCCAAGGCTCGATATTCTGCTCCGTCTGTGGCCGACACCGCTGTGCGAGCTCGACCCGGGAGAGGCTGGCGAGCCCCAGCAGGCCAGTCCCTGGCGTCTCGTTGAAAAGTGCAGTGCGTTTAGGTCGGGCAGTTCCTCCTACAGGCGGATTTTGGAAGAACAATGAATAGTCGCCAAGAAATGCCCAAACATAACCTTAAACAGTCACAAGATGGTCACCTGATTATTGTTTGACATTTTTTCGAATACTCCTGCTGTAGACGGACACGTCCATGCTCAGGCCGTGAGGCCGTGCGACTACGCGGCTCGTCGCGCCTGTCCTGGGGGGGGCCAACCTGGTCTAACTGGTGCAATCAATCCGTCTAGTAAGGATACGCGAGAAGGATGCAAGGGCCCTGGACGCGAATTTCGAAGCTTTTCGAGCGGGGCGCGGCCAGCGAAAGCGCCCAAGGATGGGCCGACGGGGGAGATTGCAAGGGTGACCTTGGGAAGGGTAACCTTGGGAAAGGGAAGGATGTGGGTTGACTGTGCGGTCGAAATGGGTACGGCATCAAGTCGGCGGCGAGCCTGGGGGGGAAACGCGGAGGGGCGGTGAAGGCTCGAGAGTCCCTGGCCTTCTGAGAAATTCTTGAGCCTTCCCCGAAGACGCATCAAACTTCTGAAAAGGCCAGAGGGGTTCTAAGAAGCCCAGCCGCCTTCTATCGGAGGCGGCCAAAAAGGGGGCGGTCAAGAGGGAGCGTCCAAGAGGCAAGGGCGCTATCCATGGCCGGCGGCATGTGCGCGGCCCAGGGTTGGGGCCAGGGACGTCATGAATTAAGAAGAGGCGCCATAACCTCTGAGGAACTAGCATGGCCCACGCCATGATATCACCACCCTCTTGGCCGCACCCGATTCTAAGAAGGCCTCCTCCTTCTCACTTCCCCCCTCGCTCGGTGCCGAACAGTGGGCACGAAGACCAACATCAATCCATGGCCGCATCGAACCAGATCTGCTGCTGGCGTCACAACGGCCGTTGACGAGTTGATTCGCAAGGCCGCCTGCGTAATAGCGGCCGCCAGCGGTTTTGGACAACATGTGTTATTGGGCATCTTATTCCTGTCGCGCGTTTCAACTATCAATGCACACACGTACATCACGTACGCCAATGCTAACATCCTCATTGCCCACGCCTCTCGCGTGAACGAACCGGGCTCCTTCTCGACTGCTGCGAAGGATCTCCCCCGGAAGCCTCGTACTCCATGAAGTCGTTGTGGGATCCCAACCGGAACGTCTCGGCAACCAAGTCGGTGTGATTCTCGTCTCCTCCCCTCCTTACCCTGGCCAACAAGAATGGAGATAAACATAGTGGAAATGGAGCGGGCCTCTGACATTCGAAAAGACTGCGGGGTGAGTGTGGAAGAAGCGGCGTGCACACATTCACCCGTCGGCAGCAGATAGTCTGGAATAGCCTGCCAATGCAAAAACAGAGGCGTCGACAAGATTGAAACACGAGCGGAAGGAAGAGAGACTGGGAGAGACAGAGAGAGAGAGAGTGAGAGAGAGAGGGAGAACAATACCACATTCAGAGCGTGTTTGAAGTCAATATGGTTGAAGACAAAGAACACCACAGGACACCAGTTCAAACAAACTGTGACCATAATGCAACGAAGATGCGGAACGACAAAGTTCACGCTGAATCTGCAGCTGCCAGGCTACAGTCACAGCTGCAGCCATCCATTACGCTCGAGCTGAATCAACACTTCAAACCTGTCTTTTAAAACTGAAGCAAGACATGTCAAAACCATATGACGCCAATGCATATAATGACTCTGATCTACTTGGCTCTCAAACCCTTACCTCCAATAGCCTCCTCGTTCCGCTTCCTCCACCTCATCTTCCCTCTCTTATCTGCCATCCGCTGGCGGATACATCTAGCAATGCTTATGGCAAGATTCAACTCAGCACGACTCCCTTGCGAATTCCTTCAAGTGTCAGGCCTCCCCCCACGCCGACAGAGTCACCTACAAATCACAATGTGCTGCCCACCAAGAACGCATTTTTGTGTTCCGCGATAACGGCCGTTACCACTCCCAGCCGCCCCCCCCTCCCACACCCCAGGTAACGTCTCGATCCGTGCTGACCTCCGAGCCGGCGCGAAACGTGACGTTACCAATCCCTCCCCCCCTCCGCCCCCCCGGTAACGCCTGTCATCGCCCGAGAAATAACTACAAGGTGCTTTCCTCACTCAACTCGACCATGCGTCTTGAGCGAGCCTGCTTCTCCTGTCGACTCCGAAGTTTTGGAGCTTCCAATCGTGGTGCCTGGGCGTGGAACGAGCGAGCAACGCGAGCTTTGCCTGCTCATCGCCTGCTCTTGCATCCATGCAGTCGGATGGGGAAACTGGCACGAGATCCGACGACCCTGTCGGCGTGTGCCTGGCCCGAGGGGAGGGCCTCCTTCCAGCCCGCTCCGCCCTGTCGCCCCCCCCCATGCTGCCCGGTGGCGCGGCTGCGGCACCTGGCGGCTCGGCCACTTGTTGAGGGTCCCCCTGTGCCCGCGGCACTCGCAATCGACGAAGTCTGTGTGTCGACGAAGTCCGTTCGAGTCGACCCCGTCCCCTACGGCCCCCAACTGCATTGGGCCTGTCTTCGCTCCCCCCCAAGTTCCTGAGACCTCCTCCCCAAGCGCGCCAGCCAAATTGAGCCATGGAGGCCTCAAGAGGCTCCCAAGAGGCCCCGAGAACCCCCCAAAACGCTACAAAATTGCACACCAGAGGCCCACGGAAGCGCCCCGAAGAAACCCAGACAAGCATCCCCTCCTCCCCCTGCTCCTCACCCTCCTCCTCCTCCTCCTCCTCCTCCTCCTCCTCCTCCTTCTCCTTCTGTTCCTCCGCCTCGTCTTCATCGTCCTCGACCTCCTCCTGCCACAACTCCTCCTCCTCATCATCCTCCGCATACTCTTCCTCCTCCTCCCCCTCCTGCTCCACCGTGTCCTCCTCCTCCTCCTGCACCTCCAGCTCTTCCTCCTCCTCCTCCTCCTCCTCCTCCTCCTCCTCCTCCTCCTCCTCCTCCTCCTCCTCTCCTCCCCACCCTTCCCCTCGTCCTCATCCCCCTCATTCGCATCATCCTCTTCATCATCCTCATCCTCCTGACCATCCTCGCTCATCATGCCCCCCCGCTTTCCCCCGCGTGCTCTTCCACCGGTGCTCCGCAACCATACCTCGACCTCTTCCTCCGCATCCTCCTCCTTCTCCTCCTACCCCTCCTCCTCCCCCTCCTCCGCGCCCTCCTTATTCGCCTGCTCCTCCGACTCCCATCATACTCGACCTCCTTCTGCTCATTCCCCCCCCCCGACCTCCCTTTTCCCCTGCTCTCTCTCTGCTCATCCTCCTCCGCGTCCTCCTCCTCCTGCTGCTGTTCCACCGCGTCCTCCGCCTCCGCATCCTGCTCCACCTCCTCCCTCCTGCTCCTCGTCGTCCTCGTCGTCGTCGTCTTCAGGGTCGGCGGCACTGGCCGTAAGGCCTGAACAATAACAACTATGATGATCCTGCGCTCAAGTACAGGCGATTGCACCGAGTTAACAGGTCCGACGTGAACAGTCGAATTTATTGCAAATTCCTCCTTCCTTACGGCCGCACAGCAAGACCCATCATCATCGCCACTGCCTCGCCCCACCCACCCCAAGCCTTTGTAGACATGGGTGTTCCCGTCTTCACCGTCTCCAGCCAACAGGGACAACAAGTGGTCGTCAGACCCGATCAATCTGTTGAAGTCTCTGGTCCTCCGACCACAAGACTTGATTACGGAGCATGGCCGTACATGCAACCTACACTTGCGTGGTATCGAAACAAACCTGTATGGACACGTGCGGTACAGGGGGGCGCGCATGCAGACGATGTCGGGACGAAAGGCTGCAGCAATCTCAGGTTGAGAGCAGGAGAGCACAATCAACGCCGCTGAAGACGAGCGGATCGGCGTGCCCGTCCCCTCTCTCAAAGAGCTACCGGAGGGACACCCACACGCTTTTTGCATCGGGGGCTAGGCAGAGTCACTGCGCTGGCGAAAGCGGCGTCGGTGGGATGCGCGAAACAAGGGACCACACAGACACAAACTTACACACACACACACACACACTCTCACACACACACGCACACACACACACACACCGCACACACACACACATGCACGCACACACACAGACACAAACACACAGACACAGACACACACACACACACACACACACACACACACTAACACTACAATAAACGCGTTCCCGCCACCGGGCCCTGTGCAGTTCAGGCGTGGAAGAATGCCAAGGTCTGCCTGGTAGGGTTTACCATCCTGTGGTGCTGTGTCCTCGCTTTGAAGAGGCAGCGCCCCGCCTTCCTCACTCCACATTCCTCCCCCCTCCTCCTATCCTCTTCCTTCTGCCCTCCGCATGCCACCCTGCTCGGCACACCCCTCGAATGCCCCGGGTGTAGAGTCCACATGCCATTCCCGCTCAGTTCGGTACCTCCCTCACGCGTTTTGCGGCCCGCAAGGGAGCTCCACAGGAGGCCCCAGTGTCAGAGTCCACATGCGGTTTCGGCACACCCTCAATACGTTTCGTGGCCCCACGGGAAGCTCCAAAGAAGGTCCCAACGGCAACGTCCACATGCGATTCCCCGCCCATTTCGGCATACCCCTCACACGTTTCGTGGTCCATGGGGAGCCCCACCGACGGCCCCAGTGGCACAGTCCGCATGTCATTCCAAGCCCATGGAAGCACACCCCTCTAACGTTTCGCGGCCCCATGGAACTCCGACGAGGGCCCCAGTGGCAAAGTCCACATGAGGTTCCCCGCCCACTTCGGCACACCCCTCACGCGTTTCGTGTCCCCATAGGGAGCTCCACCGAAAGCCTCAATGGCCAAATTCACATGCGGTTCCCCGCCCATTTCGGCACGCCTCTCGCCGCCTCCAAGAGGTATTCCGTGACATACGCATCTTGCAATTGCAATGCCTTTTCGCGCTGGAGACTGGTTCGATTGACCAGCACGTGTTTTGGATCACATCAGGCATACAACCTGCTTGGCTGATTGTTGCGCTGTGAAAAAAATCGCGGCCCCATGAGATGCTCCACCGAAAGCACCCGTGGCAGAAGCCGCAGACGCTTCCGCTCTCATTGCGGCACGCCCCCCACATGCATCGTGGCACCATGGAGATCTCCACCTAAGGTCTCCATGGCAAAATCCACGTCCGCTTCTCCGCCCATTTCGGCGCACACACACACACACACACACACACACACACACACAGACCTCGTACGTTTCGCGGCCGCCCCCCTCCCCCCCCACACGCCCGTTGCGGCCGCGAATGCACACAGTGGAGAGACCATACGGTACCTATACCGCTACTCACCCGGACCTCTCCTAGGGTGCGCTGTGACCAGAACGTCGAGGCGAATCCAGCGGTGGCGACGAGGGCCTCCCAGAAAGCCGAGACAGGGGACAACGGCCGAAGGGTAGCGGCATGGGTACCTCTTCCTCCTCAGACAAATGCTCTCCCCTGGCCTAGAACATTGCGCTGGCCAGCTGCGTGCAACCACGGTGTGCTCCACGCGTGCGTGCGGCCATACTCGCGCTGAATAGATGGTAGGACATCCCGAACCACACTCTTCTGCATTCCACGTACGCGAGTGGTATCGAGCAAGAACGGGACGGCGAACTGTAAGAAAACACGCACCACGCTGTCCCTTTCCAAATTGATGTATACCTCCCCCTACCTCCTCCCCCTGGACCTGTATGGGGGGTTCCGCGGGTCGTTGGAGTGTCCTAGATGGCCTCGGCCAGAAGACCACAATCATTGAGTTTACCAAGGTCGTGGCACCATGTTGGCCTGCGGGGGGGGAGCCTAATGTACTAAAGCCCCTCGTTTGATCGATGTCCAGCAAGATGCCCCCGAAATAGCCCCTGAGGCTCCCAAGGGTGCCCACAGACGCGGCCACAAGGGGCGCCCAGGAGGCTCCAAGAGGGCCAGGAGGCTCCAAGATGCCACAAAGAGGCACCTAAGAGACCCCCAAGAGGCCCAAAGAGGCACCCCAGGGACACCCAAAACGCTCCAAGAGGCCTCGGTGCGAAGGCCAACATCATTGACTGTACTTGGGTTTCGTCCACATGTTGGCCTCCTGGGGGAAGCCGAGTTAAAGAGCTCCCCCTCGTCTGATCGATCTCCTCCAAGATTGCCCCAAGATGGTCCCGAGGCTCCCCAGGGTGCCCAAAGACTGCCCAAAGAGGTGCTCAGGAGGCTCCACGAGGTCCCCAAGATGCCCCCAAGAGGCTCCCAAGAGACCCCCAAGAGGCCGCCCCAAGAGGCCTGAGCGAGAAAGGTTCGGCCACACTTTGGCCTCCTTAGGGGGGGAGGACGAGGCTCCCAGGGGTGCCCAAAGACGGCCCCAAGAGGTGCCCAGGAGGCCCCAAGAGGCCCCCAAAACGACCCTAAAACGCCTCCAAGAGGCTCCCAAGAGACCCCAAGACGCCCCCACAGGCCCCCCATAGTATGCACCCAAGACGCCACAAGAGGCTCCAAGGACTGCCACGAAACCTCCAAGATGTCCCATGAGGACTCCAAGAAGCTCTCGAAAGGCATCCAAAGAGACTCCGAGAGGCATCATGAGGCTTCTGGCGTTTCTGCTTGCCCTCCTCCTATTTTGCTCTTCCTCCTCCGCCTATTCCTCCTCCTTCCTGCTCCCTCCACAAATCAACAAAATGAATATCGTAGCACCCCGCAGATGCGGATGAGAGTGAGGGGGCGGTGGGGTCGTCGGCAGTCTGCGAGATTCTGGAGAAGCCCGCCGCAGGCGCCAAAGTTCCACAAATTATACACCGAGCCCGCCGCAAGCGCCGATGTATTCGTTAAACCAATGTGGGTAGGTCGCGAGTGGGTCGCTTGCAGGTCGCAAATGGCAAACAGAACGTCTCGGTCGCCCCTTGGAGTGGTGGATTCGGCATCGTCTCGTGGTGATTAACCACGAAAGGATCGAAGCCCAAGACAACCATGGTTCCCTAAAGACAAGCAGGGTGTTTCTTGGCATGTGCCCCCACTGTACGCATCTGCACCCCCAACGTCACGACACCCGCATACAACGGACACGACCCGCAACCCGGCGCGCCCGAGACGTCACGAGCTGAGGCCAGCGCTCCCCGTCGGCGGCGAGGCTGGGGGGAAATGAGAAAATTGGACGCCCGAAATGGGTACGGAAAACATGGGTAAAATGCCCAACGACATACGTATGTCGTCCCAAACCAACAGCGGCCGCTCTTAGGCAAGCGGCCTTCTGTCTCAAATCCGCCGATCTGGCGTGTGAGACTCACACGCCGGATCGGCGGATTTGGGGGGTGTCCGGGTGGCTCTGCCGGGGAAGGGGGGGGGGGGGGCTGCCCCCATTCAGGTTTGGAGGGAGGTTGGGGGGTGCTGGGGTGGCTCTGCCGTGGAAGGGGGGGGGGGGGCTGCCCCCATTCAGATTTGGAAGGGGAGGAGGCTGCCGCCATTCAGTTTTGGAGGGGGGGGTGAGCCATTCAGGTTTGGAGGGGGGGGGCGCTGGAGGGTGCCGGGGCGGCTCTGCTGGGGAAGAGGGGGATGGGGGGCTGCCCCCATTCAGGTTTGGAAGACGTTTGGGGGGTGCCGGGGTGGCTCTGCCGGGGAAGGGGGGGGGCTGCCCCAATTCAGATTTGGCTGCCCCATTCAGGTTTAGGGAGGGGGCTGCTGCCCTTCAGGTTGGGGCGGGAAGGCTGCCGCCATTCAGGTTTGAAGGGGGTGTGGAGTTTGGGGGGGCCTCCTCCTCCTCCTCCTCTTCCTCCTCCTCCACCTGCTGGTCTCCTCGTCCTCCTCCTTCTCCTCCTTCTCCTCCTCCTCCTTCTCCTCCTCCTCCTCCTCCTCCTCCTTGCCCTCCTCCTCCTCCACCTCCTTCTCCTCCCCCTCCTTCTCCTCCTCCTCCTCCTCCTCCTCCTCCTCCTCCGCCTCCACCTCGTCCGCTATTCAGAAGAGGGGTGAAAGACGAAACGACGAGTCAAGAGGCACAGCATAAGAACGAATACCACAATGCAAACAGGAGACACGCGAGCAGGAGGGGAACAGAGAATATACGAAAAACGTAATACCAGAAACGCCACCAGATCGGCGGCACTGGCCGGAGGCCATTCCAATACTATTGGAATGGCCTCCGGCCTGTGTCTATTTAGACACAGGCCGCGGCGTCGCGGACAACGAGTCCTGTTCGAAATGAAAAAGAACTGCTGTTGGGCATGATACCCTTTATGTTCGATGTCATGTCTTCCGTGCCGATAGAAAGGGCGGGCCTTCTCAGAAGGCTCGGAAGTCCCCCGGCCTCCCGAGAAGTCTTCTAAAAGCCTTCACAGCCTTCCCCGAGGACGCAGCGCACTCCTTGGGAGGTGCGACGGGCTTCCGAGACGTCCCGCCGTCTTCTGAGAGGGCCGTCTCTTTCTCACTTGCCCCCTCGCTCGCCGCCGACAGAAGTCCGCGGCCCGTTGAAAGAAGCAGTGGATCCACGCTGCCGAGCCCGCGAGTCCTCCGATGGCTCCGCCCTCCGAGGCTCCGACCCCCTGTGCACAAATGCAGTGGATCCGCGCCCCGAGCCAGCTGGTGAATTAGCGAGCCAGCTGGTCAGCTGGTCAGCTGGTCAGCTGGTCAGCTGGTCAGCTGGCCAGCCTGCATGCCAACCAGCCTATCCCACTTCGAGCTTACCCATATCCCTACAGGGAGTAAGACTGGCAGGCCTGGAGGCAACGACAATCTTGGGGATGCGTGCTCAGAACCTGAGGTACTCCTGAAGATCAGCATCGAGATCCACCACCGAGCCAGTGGGCACGAAGTGGGCGTGTCCTCAAGTCCCTTGCCTAATCCTCTGAGCCTCACTCCTCACTCCCGAGAACTCTTCATGAGGGGCGACGATAGGGGGGGGGATATGGGGGGGATAGGCATAGGGGGGGATGCATCGACCTGGAACCGGCGATGAATCACCGACAGGCCCCCGATCGTGGATCTGCAGCTTCCTGGGCGGGGTGGGGCCATCGGGCCCCGATCGGTGATCAGTGGGCGATGGGGGGCGATGCCTCCCCCCCCCCCTCAGATGCCCCCCCCCCCCCCCACACTCCCCGTCTCCCCTGACTTGACGGGACCCGCCGACCCCTCGCTCTCCGATCTCCCCGGGGGCTTAGCGCGTGCCTCCCCCGGGCCTCGGCGCGTGCCCTCGCGGGGCTCCCCGCGCATCGCGTCGTGCGGCTCTGCCGGGCCCCGGGAGGGCCCCGGGACGGGCCGAGAGAGCCTGGAGGGGCCCCCCAAAGAGGGTCCAGGAGGGCCCCGAGTAGCTGAACGATCGCTCCAAGACGCTCAAGATGGCCCTCGACGGCCCACGAGGCCTCCAAGACGCCCCAAGAAGCCTCCGAGAGGCCTTCCAAGAGGGCCCTAGGAGGCGAGCAGCATGCATGTCCTTGAAATGTTTCAGGGATGTTGGCCTTCTCTCCGTTTCGGCTTCCCGACGCTCCCAGACGGCCCTAGAGGTCTCCAAGACCGCCGCAAGACGGCCCAAGAGATATCCAAGAGGGCCCGAAAACAGACCGAGAAGGCCCCAAGACTGCCCGAGAGGGCTCCAAAACTGCGCTAAAAGGGGCCCAAGAGAGGGAGCACGAACCGAAAATCCAAGCCTTCCGTCCTAAGAGGCGCCCAGGAAGCCCCAAGGGCACCCAGGAGGTCGCAAGAGGCCCCCAAAAGGCCCCAGAAAGGCTCCAAGAGGCGAAGTGTAAGCCCCAAGAAGTCCCGACACGGCCCCCAACAGGCCTCCAAGCAGCCTCCAAGAGGCCCCCGAGAGGCCTCGCACGAAATCCCAACGAACATCCAATGGGCTCCAGACCCACAATCCAGACATAGGGGCGGGATAGGCCGCAGGCCTTCAGATAAGGTCTGATACCCATCATAAGGGTAGGGATATGTTTCAGGCTGGTAACAAGCCAGACAGACAACCAGCCAAGGTGGCCGGTTTGTCAACCAAGGTGGCCGACCAACCAACCGACCTGACCAACACAGCGGTGCAGGCATTCAGAAGGGGGGGCGGCGGTAATGGACGAAACTCTTCAGATAAATGGACGCAAAGACAGCTGATCGGCCCGAAACAACACACACACACACACACACACACGTGGGACTTGAAACGGATAACGGTAACCCCTGGCTCCGACCTATCGTGTTTTGCGCCCTTACCGTGCCTGATCCCTAACACATCCTGGCTTCTCTCATCCTCCCTGCTCCCGGCCTCGCCACGTTGAACGGCCTGATATTATCGCACATCTGCCGTGTGACTGCAAATGCCGCCAACTCAGCATACCCCCCCGTCCTGCATTCGCCATGAAACACGTTCCAGGTGTCGTTGGCATACTGGGACTGGTCCCTCGCAACGTGCGCCACTGTCCGCCCTTTACGGCGGATGCGCGCAACGTGACTGTCGTCCCATCGGATGGTGAGGAACTCCTGGGGCGGGTCCGAGATGCAAGATACGTGCGCTTCACTTCGCACTGTCCTCGCAAACCTCGCCTCCCTCCGCCGCCTACCTTCTGCTCCTCCCCAGAGAGACCAGAAAAGGCTATTCCCGCCGCTCTCTCGGGGCCGACCAGGCCACTGGCAATCGGGAACAAGCGGTGCCGAGGACGAGGCGTGAGCACGTAGAAGCAACCTGCTCCGCGCCCCCCGTGTCCCGAGGACGCCTGAGCGACGTCGGCCAGGAGGCCAACACTCAACAGAATCTGCCGCGTGGCTCAGGACGCCCGAAATGGCCACGGAAAAACAAAGGATTCGATTGTTGTACGAAACCAACAGCGGCCGCTGTTGGCAACGCGGCCTTCTCCCTCAAATGGGCAATGTCCTCAACGACACAGGACAACGAGTGCTGCAAAAAAGGGAAAGGAACTGCTGTCGGTCTGGGGCAGCAGGATTTGCACCACTCTTGCAAGTGGGGGGAGGTGATATTCTACGCATGTTCAAGGCCGTGCACGGCGACAGAAAACCCCAAAGCGGCCGAACCGACAGCGAAACCAGAACCGCCGGGATCGAGCGGGCACATAAGCAGCCTAGAAGGGCGCGGCGACGCGGCAACGGTACAATAGCCCTGCCCCATGGCCCCATGGAAGCGTTCTGGAGGGTACCGTCGGCCTGCCCAAGGAAGTGCTCTGGCAAGCACCTCGAGCGCCCCGGAGATGCGTCCTGGCATCGCCGGTGCTGCGTGCTGCAGCGCCCTTTCCCCCCCCTTGGCCCGCGGGGGCAGCCGCGTTTGCCCTGTAGTCCCGGAGGGAACCTCGTTGCACTGCCAGCGGTCGAACCTGCTGCCTGGATCTCCAGCGGAAGCTGTATGGGGAGGAGGAAGTGGAGGAGGAGGAGGAGGAGGAGGAGGAGGAGGAGGAGGGCGAGGAGGAGGAGCAGGAGGAGGAGGGGGAGGAGGGGGAGGAGGGGGAGGAGAACGGGAGAGGAGACGGGGAAAAACATGGTGAGCAAGACGAGAAGTCCCCATGAGCCCTCCGGAAGCCTCCAGACGCCTCCGGAAGTTCAAGAAGGTTCACAGACACCAGCCCACGAGGAGCTGGCAGCTCGACGAGGCCGCGGCTCCTCCTCTGTGTCAGCGTCTATCAGCTGGATGCAGTCCTGCCGCCGGCCCGGAGCGCGCAGTGAAGGCCCCCCCCCCTGCGCAGACCCGCCCCCCCCCTCGACTCGAGAGGCGAGCGGCGAGGGTGCATGGCGCAGACGTGGCTGGCCGGCCGCTAGCCCTCGGATGAGGACAGCAGGGTGGCCAGGAAGGCCACGAAGAGCACAGGCGAAGGGGAGAGGCGAAGAGGAGAGGCGAACAGCACGAGGAGAGCGCGTCGAGAGGAAGACTGTCGAGAGCTCGGCGAAGGGGAACGCCATGAGCAGTACGGCGCGAGGAGAGGAGGGCCACGCAGAACTCGGCGAGATGAAAGTTGAAGAGGAAGGAGAAGAGCACGGCGAGGAGGAGGGAGAGGAGGACGAGGATGAGACGGGCCACGGGACTTCCCGTGGTCCTCCTCCTCGTCCGCCACCGCCACCTCTTAAAACAGCACTGGGCCGAAAAGACGTGCAAGCGAGTCTCGACGTGCATCAAGACCAAATGTCCTTCCGGGCTCGCCACGACCCCCCCTCCATCTGCAGCACAAGTACATCTGCCAGAACTCAAAGCACAGCTGCCTCTCTCTTGCCCCCGTCGCCCCTTCCTGGGTTCCAGGCAGCGGGGGTGCTTGTGATGGGCTCCAAAGTAAACTACAACAGTTCATCCTGTGGCGCATGGCGCGTGGCAGCCATGTGCTCATACTGCACGACGTGCGTATCCCGCACGAGCGATTTCACGAACTATTGCGCACCTGGGGAAACTCAAAGGTACGGATACCGCTACTCCCTGGACCTCTCCCAGGATGCCTTCTGACCAGAATTTCGAGGCGAATCCAAAGGTGGCGACGAGGGCCTCCGAGGAGGCCCAACACGGGGAAAACGGCGGGAGGGCAGCGGTATGGGTACCTCTTCCTCCGCTGAGCGCCTGCTTAAGACCCCGTCTGCAGAGGACCCTTTCGCCCAAAGCCGACCGCTCCCCCGCTTTGAACGCGTACGGGTTGGCGGTGACCGCCGCCATCTCCGTGTCCCCGTCCCGGATGATGAAGTCTTGAGCGGCCAGCCTCCCCGCGGGGCCAGGGGCCGGGAGCCTCCGCATATGATGGGTAGATTTTCCACCACCGCTACCATAGGTCGGAGGAGGAGGAAGAGGAGGAGGAGGACCTCCCAATCCTCCCTTCCCCCCTGTCCGACCTATGATACTGTTGATGGAGAAGTAGCCCATCAGCACAGAGAGGTCGTCGGGATGACGAAGGACGGGGGGGGCGGGGGCCCCGACGCGGGCCCAGGCTCGGGCCAGAGCTCGAGCTTGGGCTCGGGCGTGGGCGCGGGCCCAGACTCGGGCCTGGGCTCGGGCTCGGGATCGCGGCGGGAAGCGCTGAACCGATCGGCCGAGGCCTCCTGCTCTTCAAGACGGGGTCACCCGAAGTCTTAGCCCTTTCCCACGGATCAGCTCTTCCTCCCGAGTCGGTTTTTGAGGGCCCTGGGGCCCAGCAAGGGCCCCCAGAGGCCGAAAACGGCCAAACATTTTGAACCAGGAAACGAACCACAACACCCCACCTGCGGCCCCACGGGGCTTAGCGTATACCAGGAGATCTGGCGTGGGCTTTTGCGTGGTATACGCTACGGCGCCCGATGGGCCGTAGCGAAACATGGATGGCCGTAGGTGGGGAGGGGCAGGATGCTGTGTTGAAGGCTGCGGGGGATGGGGGCAGGCGGATGAGGGCGAGAGGGGCTGGTGCCATGCCGACTGCCTCGGGAATTCGCTCCCCTTGTCCTTCCCCAGGTACGTCCGCACTTCTCATTGCGAAGCAATGGCCCGTCCTCCGCACCCTCGTCCTCACCCTCCTCCTCCACCTTCTCCTCTTCTTTCTCCTTCTCCTTCTAGTCCCGTCCCTCCCCCTCCCCTGGGTCTCTGCTTAGCCTGAGGGGGATTGCTCCACAACGAGCCGATTCCTTGAATCATCCTCTCTCTTCCCCCGTCTCTTCCTACCCCTCGCACTCTGGAATTCGCAGCACCCCTGCTCCAATACTCAGTTCACGATGCCGTGCCACGCCTGCAACAGGCTCCCAAGGAGCCTCCAAGACGGCCTAGGAGGCCTCCAAGAGGCTATCCAGGAGGACCCGAAGAGATCAAAACCCGCGGATCCATTGTGGGGCCACCAGGCTGTAGGCCGAAAGTTCGCAGTTTCTTGTACCAGTTGCAGCTTCAAATTTCCACTGTTACAGTTCTGCTTCTGGCTGCTTACTGGTCCTTGTTGATGGACCGCGTGAGAGGGGTGGAGGCCCAAACGGGCAGGTTTAGCACGCCCTGAGCGTGTTGTCTGAATTACTGGGGTGTGTAAAAAATTACACCCCTCACGCAGATCGGCGGGGTCAGGGTCCAAAAACACATTGGATTTGCAACACTTCTGAAATTCGGTGGCACCCCTCACGCAGATCGGCGGGGTCAGGGTCCAAAAACACAAGGGATGTGCCACATGTTTGAAATTCGGTGGCACCCCTCGCGCAGATCCGTAGGGCCAGGGTCCAAAAACACATGTCATTTGCCACATTTCTGAAATTCGGTGGCACCCCTCACGCAGATCGACGGGGTCAGGGTCCAAAAACACAGGGGATATGCCACATGTTTGAAATTCGGTGGCACCCCTCACGCAGATCCGTAGGGCCAGGGTCCAAAAACATATGGGATTTGCAACTTTCGGAAACTCGGTGGCACCCCTCACGCAGATCCTTAGGGTCAGGGTGGAAAAAAAAAACAGGTCCCGACACTGCTTCACGGCGGCGCCCAGACCTCATGATTTAGCTTTTGCACCTCCCATTATCCGAGACAGGGGGCCGGCGGCATGGGGCGAAGCCCTTACGGATCATTGATTTTCCTAAGGTTGTTCAAGGAGTTTGGCATTTGCTCGAATTTGGCACTCCGACGGCTCAAGACGGCCCAAGAGGCCCCCAAGATCGCCCCAAGATCGCCCACGAGGCCTCCAACATGGCCCGATGACGGCCCAAGAGGCCCCACTGACGGCTTCAAGAGGGGCCCCCAGAGGCCTCCAAGACGGCCAAGATGGCCTCCAAGACGGCTCAGATGGCCCCAAGATGCCTCCAAGACGGCCCAAGATGCACCAACAACTGCCTAGAATGGCCTCACGATGGCCCAACACGGCCCAAGATGCTCCCAAGAGGCCTCCAAGACGGCACAAGAGGCCTCCAAGAGGTCATGCAGGAGGACCCGAAGAGATGAAAATCATTGATGTTGCTAAGGTTGTTGAAGAATTTAGGCATTTGCTCTTTTTTGGTATTCCGACGGCCCCCAAGATCGCCCACGAGGCGTCCAAGATGGCCCCATGACGGCCCATGAGGCCTCCAAGACGGTCACCAGAGGGCCCCAACAGGCCTCCAAGACGACCAAGATGGCCTCCAAGACGGCTACGACGGCCCTCGATGCACCCAAGATGGCGTAAGATGGCCTCAACATGGCTCCGAAATGACCCAAGATGGCCTCCAAGACGGCCAAGATGGCCTCCAAGACGTCGAAGATGGCCCCAATATGCCTTCAAGACGGCCCAAGATGCAGCCAAGACGGCCCAAGAAGGCCTCAAGATGGCCTCAGACGGCCCAACAGGCCCCTAAAAAGCTTCCAAGACGGCCCAAGAGGCCTCCAAGAGGGCCTCAGAGGCCTCGAAGACCCTGAGGACAGCTCCAAAACGGCCCACAAGGGTCGCAAGACCGCCAAAGAAGCCCCGATGACAGCCCCAAACGGCCCCCGGACGGCGCCAAAAGGGGGCCCACGGGGGGAACCCGAACCCTCATTTACAGCCTTCGGCCACAGCACGCCCCCAGGTTGCCTCAAGAAACCCCCAACACGTCCCAAGAAACCCCCAGGCCCAAGGGAACCCGAACAGAGCCCCCAAACGCCGGCAAGAACCTCCCAGGAATCGGACAAGCCTCGTGGAATGCAGTCCTGGACGCGCAGTACTTTACAGAGGGGTCGTCGGATGTGGCGTAAGCCGATCGAATCTCCTCAAATGAGGTCGCCGTCCACGGGCCCGGCCCGCAGGGCCGTGGATGTTTACATGTTTCCCGCCCGCGACGATGGGCGATAACGATAGCGGCCGACAGACGACGCGTGGAGGAGGAGTCAGGGTGCGGAGACTGGGGAAAGAAAGCGACGAGATCGCGAAGAAATGCGCGCGGGAATGGCTTCTCGATATCGGCAGCACTCGGAGGGGTGAAGGCGGGGAACGCGAGGGTGTCCGGCCCCTTCGGGGTCCCACAATCTGGGGGAACCACGAGATACTCCTACAGCCACTTCCCGGACCTTTCCTGGGGTGCATTCTGACGAGGATTCCCAGGCGAATCCAACCGTGGCGACGAGGGCCTCCCAGGAACCCCCAAAAAAAGGAAAAAAAACAAAAAAACGAGGACAGGGTAGCGGTATCCTCTTCCTCCTCTGACAATCTGGGCGTGAACCTGCGCGCCCCCCTCCCCCCCGAAAACGTTGGCCCGGGAATCTCGAAGCTGACGGAGGCAGGCCGAGATCCCCTCCGAGCGCGCCACGGCACGAAGACGAGCGAGGTGACGAGGTTCCGCGCTGCGTGAATGCTCGGAGCACGCGCTCCGCCTCGATCGGAGCGCCAAACGTCACAGGTCACAGTCGAAGCCCTGCCGCGCAACCGAAACATGGCCACAAGGGCGCGCGTGGGGAGCATGGGCCCCATCGCCGAAGGACCAAGGCCCCATCCTGATCCTCCTCCTCCAGCCGTTTGCCTGGATACTCATATTCCCTGCAAGATGCTCTGTCGACGGCTCCGAGTCAGTGGACTCCGCCGATGACATGGGTAAGAAAAGATAGCGCCGTCAAGTATGCAATAGGGTAACACTGAACGGAGGAGGCCAGCCCGCCGGCCGACGCTCGCGGGCGCGCTGCAGGCTCGCTCCTCTTCGGTTCCCCTAGAGCCAGAAAGTAGTTGCAGGTAGAACGTTCAAGCCAAGAAGAGAAGCAGACAGCGCAGCAGACAGCGCAGGCAAGGCTAATGAGCAGGATGAGCGGCTGGCTGGTGCTGCGGAAGGAGTGCATTGACTCCCCCCGCGGCGGGATCCGTAGAGTCGCCCCGACCCCCCAACCAACCTGACCTGCACATAAGTACAGCCACCGGAACAAACCCCCAAAGCATTTTACCGCTAAGCGGTGGTTGCCAGGGTGCAGGAGACCGACGAAACCCGACGTTTCCCGCCTGAGTTAACATGTTGCCAGCTCAGGCCGCAATGCCCATGCATACCTGGTGCGCCCGCTTCATGATGAACTATGGGCCGGCAAAGACAAAGCCGCACTGGTCCTTCATGCGCTGTGTTATCTCATCCAACTCACTCCTCCAATTTCGAGAGACGTCCCAGGGATCATTGTTCCGCCAGTTCCACTGGCACTGATCTCTTGAGTAATTATCATATCGATCTCTTCCACTTGAACTCCAGCCATCTGGCTAATCCGTGCCCTGGCCTTTCTCGGGCGGCCTCGCCTTCGGCGCAGGTGGAGGCGGAAGCTCTGGCATGGTGCTCGGCGTCCACGAATCACGGTTGAACTTGTCGTTGTAGTCGTTCAAACTAAACCATTGCCAAGTTTTGGTGTGATCAGTCACATTCTGGTGACGAGTTGCATGTACATAGTATCCCTGTACTTCTCCATTATCATTCCTGTCCTCGCGGTCGAGCGACGCGTCCCAGCCGCCGTCGCTCGCGCGGCCGCCCGGATCTACCGCGGGCTTATCAGCCCACCGCAGGACCCGATCGGGGTCGATACAGCCGGCGCAATTTCCCGACGCGGCTGGGCCGGCGGGCGCGGGGGTACAAGGAGCGGCCCGATAGGATTGCCTCTCCCCCGATATCTCGGTCTCGATGCTGGACGAACATACCGCTGGGCTCCCAGCCCGTGCCGCTCAGGGCGCTAGCTTCAGCTGGAGAGTCAGCTGGGACAGCCTCTGTGGGAGAGTCGGCTGGGCCGCTCTCCTCCTTTTTCTTCTTGAGGCAACTGGTAAGACCAATGGCACTGTTTGTGCTGAAGATTCCG